AAAAAAAAAAAAAAAAAAAGAGGGAAGGATGAAGAAAAAGGAAGGAAGGAGAGGAGGGAGGGAAAAAAGAACGAGGGAGGAAGGGGAAGAGAGGTTGTGTCTGTCTGTGGGTGGAACGGTTTAGAAATACCAATACAGTCCTTATTTTATATTTAAGGCCAACAGGATGCTCAAATCTTCTATATTCTGTGATTGTGGTGGTTACCCCCTAGAAGCAAGATGAACCTCCATCCAAAATGCAGTCTGGATATTGGGAGTGATAGCCGCCCCCCCACATGCCCATCCAGAAGGGATGAAGAGGCTTGCCCACTCATAACAAGGCTTTCTAGGGAGAACAGGCTGGCTTCCAAGCAGGTCCACAATGGCACAGAGAGGGAAGCTGGGCCTTTGTAGTGGTTGGGGTGAAATAGGTGAAGGCAATAGATGGGAGCCTAGGGGGTTGATGGGATTCTTTTACGTGCTCAGCTAGGCTGTCCTCTCAGCCTTAGATGGGAGCCAGAAGGGGAGGAGGGAGAGATAAGGCTTAAAAGCTGTCAGCAAACATCCAAAACTGGTCATACTCTTGATCACAGGGGTTGTCACCTACTTGTTCTTCCAATCACTAAGGCTACTGAAATGACTACTATGGATTTATTTCTTTGTGGTTCTGTCATTTAGTCATGTACTTTGAAACTCCCATTAGACACAAAAACATGGGGAACTATGTTTTCTTGATGAGTTGATCCTTTGATCGTTATGAAATTATCATCTTTCAAGTGTCAGGAAGTACTGCTCTCAAACCTGTACTGATGTTTATAAGAGCCATTCCTGCCTCATTTTATTAGGATGGTATAGCCTTACCCACCTTTACCCTAACTTAACTTGTATGATTTTATATTTATTATAGGAAACATATGCTTGAGTCTTGATGGTTATTAAAGCCAATCTGAAATTTTTTTTTTTTTTGGTCTTTTTGAGACAGGGTCTCCCTGTAGGTCCATTTGGTCTGGAACTTGCTACGTAGACCAGGTTGGCCTTGATCTCACAAAGATCCTCCTGCCTCTGCCTCCCAAGTGTTGGAACTAAAGGCGTGTGCCACCACACCCAGCTCTGAAACTTTTTCAACCGATGAGACCATTTACATATTGTTACAAAATATGGTCGTTCATACGGTTAGGTATAAGCCATCATCTTGCTATTTATTTTTATCTCACCTGTTCTTTGCTCTCCTTTTCTTGTGGCCTTTGGTACCTGTCCGACAACTGGCCCTTGTGCAACTGGCCTGATCGGTGACCACAGGCCATTGACCTATGCAGCCCAGGATTCTGCAGGAAGGGACTGCATGGGCTCCATCTCATGAATCTATGTGGAATTCAGGGAAGATTTTCATTTCTCTGTTTTCTGCTTCGAATATGTCTTGATTCCTCCCCTCCCTCCTCTCTCATGTTCATTATATACTTGGGGTGGTCTTAATGTTAGTTTTAAGGCAAGTGTGTGCAAGCAGAAAGGAGTACAGATAGTCTCCACCTTACATCCTTTGTAATTTGTATCCAAATTAGTGAGCCCTATACTATGGACCAAAAGGTATATCCCGCTAAACCCCTTATGTAAATGTATCTAGAGACAAGATTTAGAGAAATGATGAAAGGTCAAATGCAGCAACAAGAGCAGGACCCTGATCTGTTAACATTAGTGTCCTGTAATAAGAAGAGACACAATGAATCTTTCTGTGCACAGAGGTCATGAGGGCACAGAGCAAGATGGAAGCTACCTATAGGCCAGAAGAGCTATGGGAATTAAACCTACCTTAACTTCCTAGCCTCTGAACTGTGAGCAACACATTTCTGCCACCTAAGCTAACCAGTCTATGGTATTTTGTATGGCATCTCTGAATGACCAAGATACCACTGGCTAGTGTTTCCAGTAAGTCAAGGCTGGTCTCCCAGTCTAGGATACCAAGTCACTTGTGAACTTGAAACAGATATAACATGACCACATCTGCTTGGACTACTGGGGGAAACGAGGAACTTTGTATTTCTATTTTTTCCCAGGTTCCAGAGAGTCAACTAGACCTCCAACAATGTGTACAAGGTTATGATGGATGTGAGTGACATCTTGGGATGTCAGCAACCCCTTAATGCCATAGCAGTGTCTGTGACCTCTAGTGATAAGAAAGTCCAGGTGCTGTTAACACCTGCTCCCATGCACGACTAGAGGACACGCTCAACTGCACTAGACGCCAACAAACACCCAGACCCAGTTCTGCCCTATTTTGACATGTCGGACCCCAGGTTCTGCTCTGGCCCCATTCCTGTGGGCCAGGCTGAGCTGTTTCCACAGCATGGTTTCCCAGAGGATTTTTCTCTGGGTGTGTGCACACTTGTGTGTTTGTGGGGTGTGCATGTGTATGCATATGTATGTGGAGGCCAGAGGACCACCTCAGGTGTGGTTCCTCAGGTGCTGTCCACCTGTCTTCATGTGTGTATCCTACACACATGTGTGAATATATGTGAGGGTGCACTTGCCTCCGTGTGTACATGTAGAGGCCAGAGGTTGACTCTGGGTATCTTTCCCTGTGGCTCTCCGCCTTATTTGTTCAGACGTGGTCTCTCACTGAACCTAGAGTTCGCTGTTTCAGCCAGGGTGGGCAGCCAGCTGACTCGAGGGATCGCTGCCTGTTTTAGTTCTGGGTTACAGGTGTATCATGGCGCCAGGCTTTCATGAAGGTGCTGCGGATCTGAACTCTGGGCCTGAAACTTGCTCAGCAAGCACTTTACACACTGGCCATTTCCGCAGCCACACCTTTCTTCTTTTGTGAGATGGGGGTCTCACTGGATGTTCCACACAGACTAGGCTGGCTGCACAGTGAGCCCAGGGATCCTCCTGTCTCCATCCTCAGCACTAGAGACATAGTGTATACCATCATGCCTGACTTACTCAGGTCAGGTCTTCATGGTTGTGTTACAAGCTCTTTACTGAACAATCTCCCAAGCCTGGTTTTCTGCTTTTTATATGAATGTCTGACACAGTTCACTATGAGTGGAGGTGGGGTGGGAGTAGGAGTGATAGAACTCTCTCTAGAGCTAGTGGTCCTGTCCTCCACACCCCAAGAGGCTTCAGATTCCATGCTGGCTGGTGCTTTTCCTCATGGTACATGTGTTTTGGAGAAAGGCTGACTTCTAGTTTTCCATGAATGCCAGCCCTAGGATGGGGGCAGATGACTTTGGCCTCCACAGACCAGAGGGAAGACAGTGTGACATGGAGCTGAGTCAGCAAAAGGGACCTCAAGACCAGGGCCTTGCAGAGAATGGATCCTCCTCCACCGTTCACATCAGATCTCTTATCTGCCCAGAGGACCACTGGACAAGAGGAAGTTTGAAAAACCAAAGTCCTGTCTCCCCCAAAATATGTTTTATTCTTGCATTACATTTGTGTTTCCAATTGTGAATAAAAAAATTCTTAGAAAGTGGTTACAAAACAGCGTGAGTGGACTAGAGGAGTGGCTGCCCTGGAGTCTGTCACTTCTTCACCTGGATGATGCGATGTGGGCCTGGGGTCAGGGCCGGCTCAGTCAGGTTTTTCACTCTCAGGATCTAGAAAACAAAATGGCCACAGCTCACTATAGGCCTCTGAGGCACTGGCCTCTCACCCAAGGCTGGGCCCTGACGCCTGTGCACGCAGCCCCGTCTGGACACCTGGCCCCTTTCTTAAGAGCTGCTGAAATGAAGGAAGAATGGCAGAGCTAAAGCCAGAGCCAGGCTGGGATATGGCCGTGTACTATAGAGTCCTGCGTTTGCACAGAGCCTGGGAGACATCACCTGGCCATCTTCCTCAGGCAACAGCCAGGTGCTTAGCATGACCACCTAAACCCACATAGACAACAAGGACTTGCTCTTGCTCATTTGTGACATCTAAGTCCTTCTTGGAGCCCTGGTAGAGAGCAGTGATCCCAAACCTGCCCTGTTTCTGCACAGGACCAGTGCCAAGATGAAGCATGTGCTATAGTTGCAGAGGTCTGAGCAGAAGCATGAAGCCCAGTGTTGCATCTCCATACAGCAGCAGAGGTGACACATCTAGCAGGGTGGGCCCAGTGTGGTCGAGGCCAGGCCCATAGTGCACGTGCACAAGGCTATCCATGGAGAACAGGCTGGGCCCCTTCAGGGAAAGTCCTCTCTCTAAACCATAACCTTTCCTAACGCCCTGTGGTCTATCAGGAAGGTCAGTGCCCTTCACATGTCCTGGGCTGGCCCTTACCCAAGTTGTCTATTCAACTAGCCCAAGAGTCTGAAAGAGAAGTCCCACTCACCATGAGGGAAGAGGGTGACCAGGAGTCGCAGTGAGTCAGACAAGCTGGACTTTCTGGGAGCCAGTGCCAGTGGGAATGACTGGATGCCTTCTGTGAGACTCACCCTCTCTACCTGTACTTTTTAAGCAATGCAGCCTACAGAGGCTGCAGTGTTAGGCTGGGTACAGCAGAACCTGGCGACAGGAGGCTGCACCCAGCAAGCACAGTGCTGGGAGACAGGCAACCCCACCAGAGCCTGGCTCTTATCTCCTGGCCCCACCAGTCCTGTCCTCTGGGGTACAGGCAACATGGCTGCTGGTTCCAAGCAGAGCCCACCCATATCTAGGCCACCCATACTTATCTTCTACAAGGCCGGTCAGCTTGACTTTTATGTGAACAGAGGGTAAGAAAAAAGCTGTTGTTTCACAGTATTTTCAAGCAAACGTTTATTTTTCTCTTTCACACATACAGTCTCTTGGGGATCCCATGCCACTAGTGTTGTCAAAGGAAAGGACTCAGGCGCCAGGGGAAACGAGAGAACATAGGCTCCACTTCATTAAGAAGCGGGCCCATGCGGCTCTCAGACCAGACACAGAGAACAGAAATCTCTTATTGCAATATTGTGTCCTGGCAGAAGCTCTGCACAGTCCCCTGAAAATTCAATTCTAGCCGAATTGATGGAATAGGTGTTTAAACTAAAATAATTTAGCTGGTTCTCATGTGTACAGCTAATCTGTACAATTCACAGCGGGGGGGGGGTGCCCCCAGGCAGTCTATCCTCCAGTGGGAGGCACAAAACATCTGTTGAGGGGGGAGTCAGGGAACATTCACCCCTCCCCCTGCCCGCAACCAGGGCACGTCCCCTTGAAACTTTCAGGAACACTGCTCCCCTCAGGAGGTGGGCCTGAGGATAGCCCCCAGAAGGATTTACAGGGTGAACTGGGCAGAGCATGGCCCATGGAAAAGGCAAAAAATGAGTGGGGACCCCTGAGCTGTAAGGTGCTGCTTATCTCTGTGGGGTGCTCACCATGGCCAGCTAGCCACCAGGGCAGCCTGCTTAGTGTTTCCTGGGAGGCTCCACACAGCCCAACAAGACTGCTGACGAGCTCAGGGGAGAACAATGCACAGATGGGCCCTGTGGCTCTCAACCACTGAAGATGTGTAGAGCCACCTCACCCTACCAAGGGCTGAACTGGGCTTATCTGGCATTTGCAGATCACACTGTTAGTGCCAACTTCTGCTTCTGTCTTTAAAACGGCATTTGCAACAGAACACTAAAACTAGACACAGACTTCATATTTATAACCTGTTCTCATCCCTGTAACTTAACGCGGTAGGGGCAGCAACACGCAAGTCAACTGTAATGAAACCCACCTTTGCTGCTCAATGACCATTTAAAACATGTCTTTCCATCAGGAAACAGAAAAGCTGGAATTCAAGGCACTGGGCTGCTGCAGGGGTACAACAAGGTTCTAACCCTCAATCAAGGGAGACTACCCATGTAGATTGCAGGGACTCAAGAGTGATGGAGTCTGAGGCAGCAGGGGAAGCAACTTGCCACCCCCATGCATTCCCTAGGCTGGAGTTCTGTGCCCTGGAACCATGAGGAGGCGCCATGAGGGGGCCAAACCACAACTGGGTTCTTCCACGCTGTTCAGAGTGCTCCATCTGGCCAGGGTCAGGGCAGAGGGCTATGTGATGTGCAGCCGGGGGCCTGGTGTGCTGATGGTAGGTGGCCGCAGGAACACTGGTAGCACAGGGATCTGGGTGGGACTCTGGCTGCCCCAAGCCCCTCGTGGGCTTCCTGGGGCTACCCAGGGCCCCCAAGACACTGGAACTGGAAGTAGGCCTCTGTACTGACCCAGAGGCAGTGCGTAGGGAGGGCCTGAGAGGCTGGAGTGGACAATACCTGGTGTGGGCACAGGCAGGGCCAGGGTGGCTCCAGGAATGGCTGCAGTGGATAGAGGGCCAGGTGATGAGGCCAGACATGGTGTCCCCACTCCTGCTCGAGGCACAGTTGTCTATGAGACACAGAGATAAGAGGAAGGCACATGGGGCTGTAGTCAGGCAGTTTCCTTGTATGGTCTGTGTGTTGGCATGGGAAGCAACTGACCTCCCCCTCTTGCTCTCTACACTGAGGCCTGGACACTTGTGCTGTCCACAGGCCAGAGAGGGCATTAGAGTAGAACCTGCAGGGCATGGCCCCTAAGGACACAAGTGACTCACACACCTCCACACAGATGACTCCACAGCATCTGGCTTGATGGCCAGTGATATTACTAAACCAGAACTACAAAGGGTCACGTGGGAATGGGCACTCTGGGGCAGCCCTCTGCATCCTCAGCCTAGCACAGAGGCCTCAAGGCAGGGAAAGGAGCAGCTTCTAGAACTAGCACCTCTGGAGACAGAAACTGGATATGGCAAGAAAGGGGCTCAAGAGCTGGTAGCTTTCAGCATCCTAAACAAAAAAAGCTGTAAAATCGAAGCCAGTAACCATAAAAGATGAAACAGCATAACTAAGCAGGGTTTGCCTCAGGAATGTGGGCTGTTGCCCCACAGAGACCTCTACTCCAGGAGAGAAGACTCCACTGGAAGGGCTGTGTGAGGCCCTGGCTCCATCCCCAGTACCACAGACAGACAAACACCTCAGTCACTGCACCCTATACAGGCAGGAATAGCACCAGTCTCTGTGACCTTCACAGAAGACATGCCCAGCAGCCAGTGCCATCTGTGAAGGCCCCTATGGAGCCAGCAGCCATACCCAGATGAAGGGGTAACATTACGTTACCCCTCTTCCATGCTTCTGCTCAACACTGGAAAGCCCGTCCAGGGAGAAGAGAAAAAGAGAAACTATCCTTATCTACAGATGATAAGATTGTGTGTAGAGAAACTTACAGGAATGGCTGAATAAGTAAATTTAGCAGTACTGCAGGCTACCAGGTATCAAAATCAGTCACATTTCCATGTACTAGAAACACACAACTAGAGAATGAAATTTCAACAACAGTGTAGTTTGTGACAGCATTCCTAAGCATCAACTACCTCGGGATAAATTTAACAAGAGATAGATAACACCTTTGCAGTAAAGGGAAAGAAAGATGTAAGGAAACAGGGAGATGTCAAATTCTTGACACTCCTAACACTTTAAACCTCATTCCATTGATCAGCAGACCTAATCCACTTCCAATAAAACCTCCAGAGGTTTATCTAAAACATGCAAACATTTAGGACCTAGGAAAATCAAGAAATTCTTGAAGAAGTTCAACAGTGAAGGCTTTGTCCCACCAAACAATAAACTTACTATAAAGTTGTAATAAAGTAATTAAGAGAGTGCTATTATCATAAAGATAGAAGAATGGTTAAGGGAATTAAAAGACCAGGTTTAGAGATGGACCTATACTCACGTGTGATTCAGACTGGAAAGGGAGGTGCTAGAGCAACACCTGTGTAATAGCTCATAGGCCTTAATGCAATTGCTAAAACAATGAAACTTCTAGAAAAAAATGAAAATTTCTTAGTCATTTTACTCTTACCACTAAGAAAGTTAAAAAAAAGAAGTGTTGAGGAAATCACTGTATCAGTAAAGTACCTGCTACACAGCCTAAGTTCAGATCCCTAGCACCTACATAAGAAAGCCTGTGGGTGGGCTGGACAGATGGCTCAGCAGTTAAGAACACTGGCTGTTCGTGCAGAAGATCCGGGTTCCAATCCCAACACCCAGATGGCAGCTAATGACTTGTCTGTAACTCTAGTTCCAGGGGATCCAACAACCTCTTCTGTCCTCCACGGGCATTGCACGACACGGGTGCACTTACCTACATGCAGGCAATACACGCATACTCATAAAATAAAAATTAAGTGTTTTTTTTTAAATAAAAGAGTCACTTCCATTAAAAAAAAAAAAAAAAGAGAAAGCCTGTGGTTATCACCACGGTTATCACCACGTCTGCTCTAGCATGGGAAGGGTGAAGACAGGCAGATTCCCAGAGCTCCCTGGTCCACCAGTCTAGCTAATTGGTGAGCACCAGGTTCAGTGAAGAGAGCCTATCTCAAAAGATAAGGTGGAAAGGGATTGAAAAAACAGCAGATGTCGACCTCTGGCCTCCAAAACCATGTCCACACGAGAGAGAGAGAGAGAGAGAGAGAGAGAGAGAGAGAGAGAGAGGAATAAGCCATGCACTGGTAGAATATAACCATAACATATGACAAAAGAGATACAATGAATTCCCACAAATCAGTAATGAAAAGATAACCAAAGCTGGGTGTGGTGGCCCAGGCCTTTAATCCCAAGCAGGCAGATCTCTGTGAGAATGAGACCAGCCTGGGCTCAGTCCCCGGGCCAGGTCCCCCAGCTCACCCTGCATGCCCAGGCACAGGTAAATGACAAGAAAGGCACCTTCTTGGACGATCTGCACAAGCTGGTGGATAAGCGGACAGCCAGGCCAGCTGGGGGTATTGGGAGATGACCAAGTCATCTTTTAAATGATTAATATCCTTGACCAGGCACTTTATAGAAGAGGACTGCTAAAAATATGAACATGAGCTTAAAGGCAAATCAAGACACAAGAAAACTATTACTTGATCTTAAATTGTTTTTGCAAATAATTTTTCAAATACAATATCCTACATATAACATTAAAAACTCCTACGAAGTAACAAGGCACTATAAGAACAAAGTTAAGGGGAAGAGAAAAAGAAAACCATAAGATAACTATGTAAATAAGACATACAATTGAAAATATTGGCCTGGAATTAAACTTTAAAGATTTCTTTTTATTTATGTGCATCTGTGTGTTATCTATATGTGGGGGGGGGTACAGTCAGGAGAGGGTTCAGATCCTCTGGAGCTGGAGATACAGGCAGTTGTCTTTCCACATGGAAGGAACCTGGGTCCTCTGTAAAAAAGGTTCTCTCTCTCTCTCTCTCCCTCCCTCCCTCCCTCCCTCCCTCTAATTTATTATTTTATGTGTATGAGTGCTTTTCCTATCTCTCCAGCCCCAGTACCTGCTCTTAACCACTGAGCTTAATCTCTCTCTGGGCATAGCCTGTAGCTCCAGCACTGGGAGGTGGAGACAGGTGGATCTCAAGAGCTTGCTGGCCAGCCAGCTCAACAGAAATGGAGAGAGCTAGAGATAAGACCCTGGACACTCTGCTGTGGCCTCTGCATGCACATACTCAGGCATATGTAGCTGTGCACACCTAGGTACATGCAGCTGCACACTCATGTACATGCAATACACACACAAAGTAGTAAGAATCCAGAATGTATGCAGAGCAGGATTCTCCAATGTGGTAGGAGCTCAGGAAAATAGCCAGGAAATCCCACAGGACCCTGGGGCCACATTGGGGATTTTCAACTTTGTCTTAAAATAATAGGTTTCTGTGGGAAATGTACTGAGGGGTCAGGATCCTGGGAGTGTAGACTTGAAGAAGGAATGAATTAGATTCAGGTCAAGTACCTGAGGAACAGTGATGAAATTGATACTGAGGTCGCTGACACCGAGGAGTCAAAAACTGAACTGAACACATGTACCATAGTGCAGCCAAACTACAAAGTACTGGTTAAAAAGGTCATGAGAAATTGGTAAATAGGGCTGGACAGATGGCTCAGTGGCAAGAGTGCTTGTTGCACAAGCATGGGAACCAGAGTTTGAACATACCTGTAACCCCAGTGCTATGGGGGCAGAGACAGGAGGATTACTGTGGCTTGCCTGCCACCAGTCCAACTCCAGGTTCAGTAAGTGAGCTCGTCTCAAGGGAATAAGGCAGAGGGTGATCGAGCAGGACTGTGCAACATGCACAGGTGTGAGCATTCACTCATACACATGCACATACACCAGAGAGAGAGGGGGAGAGAGAGAGACAAAGAAACTAACTGTCCTTATTTCAAGTCACTATGGAAATGACCAACTATTTTGAAATGAAAGTTAGTAGAAATGCTGTATATCAAACTTTTGGGGTATACCTAAAACCATTAGAGGGAAATTGACTGTCTTTTTAAAAGAAAGGCTACAAGTCAGCAGCCTATTCACCTTAAGTTATTTTCCCTCTAGTGCTGGGGACCCAACCCAGGTCCTCAAAATACTAGGCAAACACTCCATCACTGATTTCACAGTCAAGCCCAGGGAACTTCTAGAACAAAACTAGGCCAAAGACAGAAAAAAACAGTAAGTTGGAAATGAATGAAATAGAGAACAGACAATATATTAAAGATAAAATAGTTCTTTCAAAACGTCCATGAAATTAACAAAGTCTTAAGATATAAGGAAAGGATGATGGGTGTGGTAGCATAGGCCTTTAATCCCAGCCCTCAGGAGGCAGAGACAGGTCTGTGAGATCGAGGCCAGCTTAGTCCACATAGTGATTTCCAAGTGGGCTGGGACCCTGTCAAACAAAACAAAACAAAACCAACCAAACAAAAAAAACCCCAACCAAACAACAGCAAAAAACATAAGGACTGAGAGGTGGGGAGGAAGGGAGGGACAGGCACACACAGAGGGAGAAAGACAAAAAGACACAGATACACAGAGAAAGTAGGAGCAGAAATTACCAGTACCAGGAATGAAAACATGGACATGCTGGGAATCACACAAGCTTTGATAAGAGGTAATACAGGTGATTACATGACAACTGATTTGAAATTTTACATGCATTTACAGAAGAGGCAGCAATTACCAGGGAAGGAGAATTTAGCAAGACTATCAAGAGGAGAAAGAATCCAAATGGTGTTAGAACTGGAGAGAAAACTGGATTCCTAAGGCAAACCTTCCCCGAGGGACGGACAGATGTGTGATGGATGAATTCTGCCAGGGTCACCTACAGCATGGGTGGCAGCATGCAGTGTGTTTGAAGAAGTTTTTCAAAGCACAAGTTCACAAAGGAATGTTTCCCACACTAAAAGCAACACCCACAAAATACTGCAGCAGCCCAGATGGCTTCACCCATGAACTTCACGAATCACCTAAAGTAGAAATAACACAAATCTTCCACAAACTCCTCCAGAAAACTGGAAAAGTGGGAATATACCCACGGCTGGTCCCGCTGCAAAGCCATATGACACACCAAGAGCTATGAGAGCAGCTCCTTGCCCTGTCCCACACTGGCCCCACATTGACAGCCGTCACTCGAGGATGTAGTGAGCACCTGCCCTTTCTCCAAACTGGGGAGTAATGGAATGAGGACAAAGCTTGCTCTGTCCACAAAGAGGAAGCTGTTTTGCCAACCGGGACATTCTGCAGTACCTGAGTTCCAGAGTCACAGGCTCAGCCCAGTCTGTCTCCCCTGCTGGCCAGGACCACAGGCAAGTTACCTCCCAACCATTACAGGGGCAAAGGCTTAATTCTTGTGGAGAAGATGGACCCAGGTCATGAAAGTGCTTGACATGCTGGACACCTGGCACTCAAGATGCTAGTAATGACTCATGGCCACAGCCATCATGCCCACCATCCCTCTCCCGGGAGAACCCGCACCCACGCTCACTCACAGCCAGCGCCTCGCCAGGAGCCTCCATGTCCTGCAACTTCTGTGTCTGCTTCAGCTGGTTGAGTGTGGGCTTCAGCTGTGCCGCCCCCACTGTCTTGGTTGTCCACTCATCCACCAGCTTGTGAAGATCGTCCGTGAAGGTGCCTTTCTTGTTGTTGCTGTTGTTCACCTGCGCCTGGATGTGCAGGGTGGGCTGGGGACCTGGCTCGGGGCCTGGGGCCAGGCTGCTGGTGGAGGACCCTGGGGAGTCATACAGGCCAGGATTGGTGACTCCATGCACTGCCCAGTGCCACTGACAGGCTGGCAGCAGTCATTCTCACATGACAGCTGGGACAATCAATGGCCTCACTCTGGCCAGGCAACACCTTGCTTCAAGAGGTGGTCTGCATCAAGGGGCCTTGCTGCCTGGTGTTAGACACTGTTGAGGGACTGTGTGGGCTGTGACTGGGCTATGCCAGGCAGTCATCACTTGTTTCTTAAGCTAGGGCAGGGGACAGGACCCTGAGCAGCTGGCACCCTCCATTAAAAGTTCACTGTGTGCCCACTGCTGTATGTCCCACTAGCCTCATGTGTGAGCATGGGGACTTCATGACACAGTGAAACATACATGAACACTGGTGTCCCAGAGGTAGGGTCAGATTCCTGGGGCTCTCTATGGCCTCTGTACCCTCAGCATACCATGGGGCAGTAGAGCAGAGGCTGGGCTACTTTACAGAGTGCTCAGCACATAGGCAATATCACCAGCCTCCCAGCAGCCCCTGGACAGACTGTAGTTTGTATTCCTGTGCATTTTAATGGCTTAGTAGCTGGAATGCAAGACGAGGAAATGGTGCCTTTCCTTACCAGAGCATTTGGAAGGAATTAACAAAAAACATCAATACCTAGAGCCCCTCGGGTGGGCTCCAGCTATGGTTGGGGGATGCTGGGCGGAGGAGAGCTGAGAGCCACTCTGCAGAACAGAGAACATTTGGCTACTTCTTTAATATATTTTTTTAAATGGCCAACATGGGACTTGTTCGGTGGTGTCTCCTCCCCTCCTTCCCTCCCTACACACACAATTTCCGGCTGTCAATTTTGAATAAGCCAATTAAAAATATACACCTCAAGTCCGTCAAAACAAAACCTAACCCAAACAGCTAACGACCATCTCTTTACAAATGACCGTCTCTTTAAACAAGCTGTTCCAAAATGTAGTGAACTTTAGTGGCCAGAGATGGGAAAGCACAGGCAACGGTTTACACATTAGTGATGAGATTCAACACACAGCTATTACTACATGACGTTTTCAGCCAGAAAAGGGGGAGGGGGAATTAAAAAATAAAAAGGCAAAAAAGAGAATGAGCGAGAAAAGGAGGGAGAGGGAGAGAGAGAAAGGGAGAGAGAGGGGGAGGGACAAGGAGAGAGAGGTGAGTGGCCCAGGTAGACTAATACCCATTCAGTCCTGGCATCTCTCCTCAAGGAAGCACCCATCGTTAGCACTTCAAGGAAATACTGATCCTACAATTTTGGAAAAGGACCCAATTAATAAGTGGTACTCTGTGGGCATTCTAAAGGATAGGCAGGCCTGTTAGGTGACTGGCGAGACGGTACAAACTCTAGGAGCCATGGAAACACAAAGGGGAGCCAGAGGGGCAGCTATTCTGCCAGGCAGAAGCAAAGCTGGCCCAGCGTGGGGCACAGAGCAGGCCACACGCCTGTGGGAGGCCCTGATGCGCGCTAGCCACGACAAAGCCCATGCGATGAAAGGGGACAAAGGAGGTAAAAAACCCAGATAATTACTACTGCTGTGTTCTTTGCCTAGGCAGAGACGCTTCAGGGCTGACCCTGTAAGGGAAGAAAAAGGATACAAGACCACAGGGTTAGGCAGAACAGCACATACCCATCACACTACCACATGTAAGCAAAAGTCATCAGTGTGCAGGGAGGGACAGACACAGGCAGTAGTCGGAGAGGGAGGCCAGCCTGGCCTGGGGGAATGGGGCAACATCCCCAGTGTTCGTGTGCAGGCTCTCATGGGCTTTGCTGAGGAGGTAGAGGTACGAGGGCAAGCCCTCAAGCTTCAGGGAGAAGTGTTTGTCTCTAAAAGCATATTTCAGAAAAAGAGATAGAAAAAAGAAAGGCAGGGAAAGGAAAAAAACAAGGCAAAGCATACCGCTTGGCTTTCAAACACCAGGCCTTTGGGAGCCCCACTGGTTGAGGCAGTAAATCCATTGAAGTCAGCCATGGGGTCCCGGAATGGAACCAGGCACAGCCTCGACTGGCCTGTAAGGCCACAGGAGGTTTTCCAAGTGCAAAAAGATACATTGTTCTGTAGGTCTGAGGCCAATTCTGGATCCCAGATGGCTGCCTTGTACCAGGTCAGACAGGGGCACTGGAACAGGAACACTGGAAGATTTCTGCCTTGAGGCTGATCCTGCTCTGGGGAGACATCATGCCTCTTTTTTTAATAGCCCATGTTCCCTAGATCTTTACTGGTCTACTACTAAGCAGCTCCGTCCCCACTACTCTGGTTTTGTCTGTGGTCAGGCAGATAACACACAGAATGTGACATCTGGCAGGGCCTAGAGGGATGGGGTAACCTGGGGACATGGGGTCAGCCTGGGCTATGTCAGGAGGTGCTGCCATTATGGTTTAACCTACAGCTTCCCAAGGAGCTGCAACTGGCAAGGAACTCAGACTTCCCCAAGGCCACTTGGCAAAGCAACACTAGTGAGGCAGGTCTGTACTCCAGCCTTGCTCTTCTCTCTAGAAGGCACATCCCAGGAAGGGGGTACTGATGTACATGGCACTGGCCTGAGCCAGTTGGTCCAAAGGCTTGGGAAACCTGACTGCTTGACTTCCTTCTCCTGCCCTGAGGGACAGTGTGCAAATGCTGGCCACTCCCTGGCCAGAGCTCAGCCCAAGCTGTGTATATTGGATCTGAAACCCACCTCCTATGGACTTACTAGTTCAGTTTATTTTGTATGGCTTCTAAGGCTGCAGTGAGGAAAAGCAGGGTGATGTTTTGTTAAGTAATTTAATGCTCAGAAAGAAAGAAGTGCAGTGACCAAGAGGGATCTGGATGAGAAGTGGCGACAGGCTCTCTCAGGTGACTTTTGGAAGAAAAAGTGTTGTTTTCTACAAGGAGGAAGCACCCACCCTGAAGCCTGGGGCTGCACCCATGTCCTCTCAACTCAGTGTGGGGTTGTTGCTGCCTGGGCTACTGTGGTCCCAGAGATGATTCAGCGAGAGGAGTACAATCACACTAAGTCCCCTAGCTGGCTACAGTCAGTACTTTAAGGGCTGACATACTTGCCTGCCAACTCTTGGTATGGCTGGGAGGTATAGATGTGGGGCTTGGCTACTGTCATACTGGGTAGAATGGCAGATGGGCTGGCTATGGCTGACCTTCCTGGACCACAACCATCAGCTTCCTTCTTTCATAGCCCTCCTGTACTAGCCCCAGATGACTAGAGCACAGATTGCTTCAGCGTTGGGATAAACCAGTCAGTCCATGTTGACAGTACAGCCATGCTAATCTCCGGCAGAGCCTCAGTGGGGCATCCAGCACCCTCTGGACATCCCTCAGCATTTCTGCCCTGGGCATGGGATGGCCCTGGTCCCCACCTTTGCTGTGTCAGGATAGGCATTCACAGACTCCTGGGCAGCACAGAATGAGTGGATAGAGCCAGTCAGAGGCAGGATGGTTTAAACCAGTCCCATCCTGGTCTCCCTGGATACCCACCTGTCCCTATAGTGAGGTGAGACCTCTGCATAATGGTCTGGTCCAAACTATGCACCACTCTCAGGTTGACAAAACACCCTTTACACATCCACCACCCTCAAGACCTCAGCTGGCGGCAAGGACTCCTCAAATGCGACAGATGTAAAACTCAGGCAACAATTTCCTACATCTCTCTGCAACTCAGTGTTCATATATGGATGAAGTTCACAATGGGTAAGCCCTCTCCATGGGGTCAGCCCTCCTGGTACCAGGCGCTCCCACCCAGTGTCCCTCACGGCCAACCCAGGTGGCTGTGCCTCATCCCATCACCATCTCTCATGGGTTAGTTCTACATATAGAACCCCATGCCCCTTCCTGATGTCAAAGCCCGAATACCCCCAGAGCTTTTTCTATATTGAACAACCCTATTCTCAAGCTGAGAAAACAGTCAAAAAGTGTCCATGAAGTGTCAGCTCAAAAACAGGTGCCTTGGTTCTGTGTAGAGTGGGTAGGGACATTTCATTTGGCCTTGAGCTGCACAGAACTGGGTCTTACAGACCCTGGAGCTGACGTGCTGGCTTTGACAGCCCCCAGTCACAGGCCCCACTGACCTTCAGGGTGCGGGGGTCTCCTGTATCCCTTACTAGACTCTCTCTCTTCCAGTCAGTAAGGGACAAGAACAACCTACGGGGGGAGAAGACTGGGAGGGCCACAGAAGTCCCTGACCTGAGGAAATGAAGTTGGGAAGAAGAACAAACACCGTGAGCCCTTGTGGTTCCCTCGGGAAATCAAGGTTCAGGAGGTGTCCACACCTGCCGGGGCAGGGGCAGGACATCAAAGGAGGTGGCTCAGTGGGCTGCACCCACAGAACCCCAGGTGCTGTCTTGGTCTGTACCTGCATATCTCTCTCCTCTTTAGTTCCATGGCCAGTGTCCTTTAAGACAGGTAGGTGGCCTGGTTGCCACTGCCTACCACAGGGAGGAGTCTGCAATGAATTGTGGGGTCTGTGCTAGGACCCAGGCTGGAAGCAGGCAGCTAACACAGGGTTCACACTCCCCAGAGGCCTTTCTACTCACTGCCCATCTCCACTTGACCCCTGTTCCAGGCTCACCTCTGCCTCTGGAGTCCCCTGATGCTCTGCTTGGTTCCATCAGAGACAGGGTCTCCAGCCCACCCTGTCGCCCCATTTCAACCTGCCCTTCCTCGAGCTCGTTCTCTTTCTCTTTCTCTGAGCTTCATGGAATCCCAGATCTTTCTGTAGTCAAAATTTAAAGCACATTTTGTTTTCTTGGATCCTTTTGTCTTCCAGGAAGTGGGGTGTCATACACCCCTGAACACACAGCCACACAGAGCTGGACATACTCCAGCATCTTTCCAGCCACCTGCGCACACTGCCCCTGCCCTGAGGGCCCTTCTCTCCTCTCAGCCTCCAGTCAGGCTCCATCCTGCCACTATGCATTCTCTCATGCTCACGAAACATTGATCCCACGCTCAACCCTCTGAGACCCCAAAGGTCCTTGAGGACACCCCACTCCCCAGTCTATTCAGAAGTCACAAGACAGACAAATGAACATCTCAATGAGAAGCCCAGACCCCTAAAGCCCAGAGGCCAGCAGCACACAGTACAAAAGAGTCTTTTGGGCTACTCTTTTTCCAAAGAGTGGGTTAGCCCAAGACTCTCCTCATCATATACCACAGTGAGAGGTGTCAGAGCAGGCATTCACCTGGGCTTTGCTGACTAGCAACTTGACAGTATGAAGGGGCTGTAGCATGGACCCCAAACACTGAACCAACTCAGTCTGGTTTGACATGGATTGAGCTGTACATCAGCAATCCATGGGAGGCAGCACCACACTGGAAGTTGCCCAGCCAAGCTCATATGTTCCTTCCTCCTGGCCACAGGGGCTTTTGACTGTGCTGTGCCTTTCTCTCAAGTCTTGGACCAGTAATTCACAGAAAAACAAGTGAAAACCATTTAAAAACACAACCTTTGGTAGAGAAGCTGATCTCAGAGACACGATCGTAACCACTGCAGGCAAGTTGCCATGTGTTCTGCTTTGGGGGATGGGATACACTCAGAGATCCAGGTGCCATCATGCCTGGTGATCATCCCAATGTGAGCTGTATGCCCACCAGGCTCAGCAGGAGAGGCATCAGGCAAGCAGGGGCCAGAACGAGGCTGGAGGACAGGAAAAAACTCTGCCTGCTACAAAGACATAAGGGATGCACAGAGGGAGGCCTCCCAGCCCTTCTCCATCCTCAATACAGCAACTAACCAGAAGCCAGACCGACATACTGCCAGCCAGATGCCACTGTTCCACAAACGGGCAGTCTATTAAATGTACAGGAAACTGTTGAGAAGTCCCTAGCATGTCCACATAGCCATGTGCCCTTGCCCCATTCACCTCGAGACGGATGATCCATGTGGGCCTCTGATGTAGGGAATGGGGAATGGCAATGGTCACCTACCACAGATGTGGCCTCTAGGTTCCCACAAGCACAATGTATCTTTATTGTACAAGCAAAAAGTCATGTGTCCCAAAACAGCATCTCTAATCCAATTGTCAAAAAGATTTTTTTCCTGTTAAAAAGGCAAAAACCTAAAATCTCCAAAGCTTTGGAGTGATTTGCCAACTGCCGTGAGAGTTAAAAACAAATTGTACCAGGGCCAAGCCGGTGAGCACTCCTGGGCACCAGGAACAGGTCCTAGGGCATGTGAGGGAGGCTGGCACTGGGATTGGGTTTGATGGAGGTTCCAGGAACCCCCTCACTGGCTTCATCCCTGACATCACATGGTTCAGAGGAAATCTTATGGAGCAGAGTGCTCAGGCTGGATGGGAGAGAAGAAGGGACCAGGCAGGATGCAAGCTCCAAAGAGCCGCATGACATGGGGTAGGTGTCAATTTATCCTTTGAAGGTGGGGTGAGCACCTTACCCAGGGTTGGGTAAGATGGCAGAGGGGACCAGTCCTCCCTATACAGTGGGGAGGGGTGGGTCAGGAAGCCCTAGCTTTTCGATGCTAGGGATGGAATCTAGGGCCTTTCTTTGGCACACTAGGCAAGTGCTAGGCCACTGAGCTACACCCTGCCCTGGGAGCACATTCTTAGCATCTCCACATGCAGGAGTGGGAAGGAGGGCAGAGGCAGGGCTCAGGGGTTGGGCTTTGGCCCTACACACCCTCCAGGGACATTAGAAATGTATCAGCCTGCTACATGCATGTTGTGGGAGTCCAGGCACGTGTGTAACACACTGTGCATCTGGAGAAGGTTGGGGTTGTCTTTTTGTTGTCATTGAAACCCGGGAACAGCAGACATGTATACTGGCCACAATTGCAACAGAAAACTACGTCCAACTTAAGAAAATAAATGAGGTGATGGGAAGAATGCAGAACGCCCCGGCACATATGGGGTGGAGAGGCTGTGGCAGAGGTGGGAGCTCTGTTGAGCATGCTTTTGGTACCTGGGCACAGTCAAAAGCATGCACAGAGCTGTCTGGGGCTGGGTTGACTATGGACAGTGTATTCAGTGGGGTCCACCTTCTACGTGGAGGAGGTGACTTCAAGGGGTGGGGGTGGCAACCTATGAAATGTATGAGAGGTAATGAAGACAGGGAGCAGGGAAGGGAGAAACCAAGGGCCGGGTGGTGGGAAAATACAAAAGAACAAATACAGACAGATGGACACAGATACGGGTCCACTGAGGAATCGAGCACGAGGCTTGCTACTAGACTTATAGGCCCCTCTCTCAGACGTTGGGTGGTAAACCGTCCAGCCTGCAAATGAATATAAAGGGAAGAAAACAGAGAGACACTTATCAAGTACAGGTTGCTGCGATTCCTCCTCCACACCAAAAGCCACAGTCTTGTAACTTAACATCCACGGCTCCATCTAGCCCAGCCCAAGCACCAAAGCCACTGACCACAGAATGGGAGGAGGCAACAGTAAGAGAAGAGAAGCGGCCCGGAGGAGGAGGGGATGGGGCAGGTGGGGCACCTTTATCGGTCACCATGATTTCTCTGGACAGAGATGGTTAAGGACAGGAAAACACCTTATCAAGCAGCTGCTACTGTCCACGGCAGTGATGACCAGACTTCCTCCTCAGGGCCAAGCTCCCAGCTTGAGAGCTGAGCCCTTGTCCCCCAGCTGTCCCGTGGACTTTGGAAGGACCCAGTGTTTAGCACCATCGGGCTCCGCTGTGGGAAGCGGGCAGGGTGGGGCAGCCAGGGCCTAAGAACAGGCATCGCAGAACACAGCAAGATGCCAGGCCCTGCTCCCTCCCATTATCGGGCTGATCCCTCCTGGTCCTGGCCACTTCCTGAGGTTCACTCTAGCAAACCCATCACCTGCCTCTGAGCCGTTTACATGGCAGGACAATTCCATTTTTTCCATACAAAGTCTACATCTTTAATTCTTTTTCCTTTTTCTTTGTTGTTTTTATAAAGCTGCTCAGCAACCTTGGCTGCAGCCCAGGCCCCCTCTAAACACACAGGCGTGCTCTTGTGACACCACTGAGCCCTACGTGGCTGGCACATGCTTGAAGACAGGCAAGCTGGAAATCACCTTGGCCACGCGCTCCGCCTCCATCACTGGCTAAGCCGGAGCAGATGTCTGTGGACAGGGAGGCCCGTACGGAGCAAGGCTGCTGGGTCTGAACTGCCTTGGTGCCCGGGGGCGTGCTGGCGTGGGCAGGGTCCTTAGTGGGAGGGCCTCTGCTGGAGTCAGACAAATGACCTGGGCGAGGGGGGGGGAGAAGAGGTGACAGGCACCATGAGGCGCCACTGGGCAGGGGAGGATGTGGCTGGGTCTGCTCCCTGCTCTCTGCTGGGTGACCTTGGGGAAGCTGAGTTTCCAGCAGAAAACCAGTATACAGACAAGATCCCAGGCTGGAGTGTCAGGAGTGATCAAAGAAAGTGCTCCCTCTATATCAAACCCCAGTGTCATGCTGGACCTGTGCTGTGCAAATAAGTGGCAGGCAATGCACGTGGGTTCAAAGTGGCCTGTGCACCTGTCACCAGGGAGATGCCCAGTAGCTCTGGGATTGGTATTGGGTGTCACCTGTGCAGTCTGCAGGTGGCTCATGATTAGGGAATACTTACTGGTAATCAATAGTGCACATTTGGCACATTTGGAGAATGGGATTCATGGAACCTCCCCCTACTCAACAGTGCACCCTGTAGTGCAGCTCTGGAGGCCTCAAAGGAACACCAACATGCAAGAGTGCTGCCTGGAGCCCAGCCACTGCAGCATCAGGGACTGGGTACCAGTGTTGCCAGGCCTAGATGACAACCCATTTTCTTCCTGTCCCCCAAAGGCAGCCACCTGATACCAGTGAGCAGGGGCTAATGTGTGCCTGAGTGATAGGGTCAGAAGAAATAGCCTCTTCTGTCTTAGGCTGTGTCCTAGGCAGGGAGGAGCAGGGAGGGAGTGCCCTTTCCTTCCACATGGGGCAGAGGCCTGGCTCCAAGAAGCCCTGACCCCCACACCCAGGCCTTGCCATTCTGCATGAGACTCCGAGCTCCAGTGAAAGGAGTTCCAGGAAGAATAAAACATACTCTTCTAGGTCCGGAGATGTTACACCAACCCAGAGGTGGCCTCCCAGGCTCATGTGGGGTTCCCCAGGTCCTCCCTTCTTAGCCCAGGTCAGCCCTCCCCTGAATTTGCAGACCTGTGCTAGAGGCCACGACTTTGAGCTGCTGCACCAAGGGGTTCAGCAACTTGCCGGCCTTCAACTTGCTCTTGCTGGTTTTTCTCCGGCGACCACTAGGAGGCGCTGTGTGAAAGAAGCCAATGTTGGGAGGGAGTGGTTTGCCCAGGCGGTGGTACAGGGCTTCAATCTCTTGCTTCTGCTGGCTCTGCAGCTCAGAGATTTCCTTCAGGTGCCTGGAGCAAGAGAGAAGACACAGGGCAGATGGGCTTCCCTTGCAGGAGAGGTCTGGCTGCGTGGGGAGAGATGGCCACCTTGCCTGGGTCTCCACTGGGGCTACTTGGGAGGGTTACATGTGGGCTTTAAATGGCAATATCTAAGTCAGGTGAGGACAAGGTGAGGCATCTCTGACATTGATAATGCTTGATGACATAGGTAAGACCAGGGACCTCACGTTTTTAAATATCCAGATTAGTGACCACTGAATTGTCTCAACTATTCTACACCGGTACTTCTGCTTCCAATTAAAGCCGTAAACATCAGCACAGATGAACAGAAAATTAGATGTCAGGATCCAAAAAGACAGATCCCTAGCTTCTTTCCCCTTTCCTCCCCCCCACTTCCTTTCTTTCTTTTATAGGGTCTCATGTACCCTAGGCTCAGAAGAGGGACAGCACTGTATGAACAAGTCACCAAGATTCTTGTGACTGGCCTATGGCCTCACTGGCTCTACTGCAGAGGGTTATGGGTATGTTTATGATGCAGGTGGAAGGCAGGTGGAATGCGGAGGTGGAGGAAGGGCAGTCTCCAGGACAGCTGGAGAGAAGAATGCCGTGACTCCCCACTGAGCCCTATACTGGCTCACGCTGTTATAGGTCACCCCTCTCCTCACCCTCCTACACCATCAGGAACTGAACTTCTCTGTACTTCAGAAGACCTGAACTTGAGACCTTCAAGGGGCCCCAGCCTATTTCTTCCAACCTCTTGCATTGGGAAAACAGGTAGTTTTCACAGTTGAAAATGATGACATAAGCTTTGACTTTACCTCGTGTGTCTTTATAGCCTGCCAAATTTTTGTTTTGTTTTGTTTTAAGACAGGGTTTTCCTATGTAGCCCTGGCTGGCTAGGGACTTGATATGCAGTCCAGGATGGCCTTGAACTTTCAGGATTTTTCCTGGCTCAGCCTCTAGAGTACTGGGATTGCAGGAGAGGCATCAAATCCAACTTCCCAAGTTTGTTGTAGAAAAAAAAAAATACTTCCTTTAGCTCTTAAAAAAAAAAAAAAAAAAAAAAAACCAAAGAGCTAAAGAGCTAGAGATGTCCCAGTCAGTAAAGTGCCTGCCATGCAAACACAAGGACCTGTGTTCAGATCTGCAGCATCCATATAAAAAGCTAACCATGGCAGTGTACATCTATAATCCAAGTAGTGGGGAGGGAAAGAAAGGAGGAATCCTGGGGCTCACTGGCCAGCCAGTCTAGCCTAACGGGTGAGCCCAAGATTTAGTGAGAGGCCCTGTATAAAAAATAAGGTGGGATGTGATCAAGGACATCAACCTCTACACAAGTGTACACACATGCATCACACTAGCACACACACATATACATAGACACAAATACACAAACAAATCAATCAATAAACACCAATTGGCTTTCTCCCTACAAACATAAGAAAGACAGTAAACTGCTGCTTGCATTGTATTTGGACAGGGAGTGCTTTCAGAGGAAGGCTGGCTGCCTTGGGGGCTGCTGGGTCAGCAGAAGGGGCCTCTTCTTCAGGACTTAGGGCATAGCTCTGTACTGAGGTCTCAGCTGGTACCTACCCCTCTACTTTCTCACCTCAACAAAAGCTCCATTATAGCAACCTGAACTGCCTTGCACAGAGCCCCAAGACTAGCAGCCTTTATGCCCCTGCACCCCTGCTCCTTCAGTCCCTCAGGCTCCTGCAGAAACTCTGCAGGCTCAATACTGCCCCCCGCCCCCCTGATTCCTGAGCCCATTAGATAAGTTTCAGGAAACCTCTGTTCTTCAGCAGCTGGTGTGGTCTTCCAGGAGCTACCCTGTCAGGCTGCCTCCTCCCACCCCCAAAGGATAGCACAGGGCATAAGCAATTAGTATGAGTATTTGCTAGGTAAGAGGTAAAGGCAGAGAGAAATAGACAGAAACCAAGTATCAGAGACAGATACCAAGACAGGAAGAGAGAGAGGCAGAAGGGGAGAGAGGGAGGGAGAAAGTATATGTCTCCTAACCCTTGAGATGTCCTCCCAGAATAAGAAAGGAAGAAGCCAAGTCCTGAAAGAAAGGAGGGGAGATATGTACCCAGAGGAGCCAGGACTGAAGCAGGTGGCAGGGTGTGGCTGGCCCAGTTGTAAGGACATCCTGGATGGGGCCCTCTCCATCCATCCTGGACTGGGATAGGGCTTATCTGGCCAGCCATGAGGGTGGAACCAAGTGGATCTTTTTGCTACTCTGTTGCTCTGACAGCACCTGCCAATGGATATCTCATGGCCAAGACCTGAACTTCATCAGGCAGAATTGGCTAGGACGAGACCGGACAGGTGAGCCCTCCCTGACTATGCTGACCCTGTAAGCCCCACCTCCCTATGTTGGCTAGGTAAGCCTCCTCAAAAGTGGACAAACTCCACCCTCATGCTGGCCAGATAAGCCCTACCCCCAAGATGTTGCTCTCTTTCTCTTTCTCTCTCACGCATACGTGCACGCACATGCATATTCACACACACACACACACACACACACACACACACACACATACTTCTCCCGAAGACTGCGCAGCTCCTTCTTTATGTCCGCATCCTCAAACTCAGAGTCATTGTCACTGCTGATGTAGGATGACTGGGAGTGGAAGGAGGTGACACTGATGGTGGGGACTTTTACACCTGCCCTGCTGGGTGTCTCAGGGCCCAGTGAACTGGCCCTCGAGGACCTGTGCAGGAAAGCAGTGGCCTTCTTCACCAAGTCACTTGCCACACCACCGCTACCAGGTAGGGAGGACTGCTTCTGCACCTGGGGCCTCCTCCGTGGGCACTCGTCCCCTGAGTCACTGGAGGCAGGTTCGCCAACACCGACCTCGATGGAGGAGGCCGTCTGTACCCGCCGTACTGCCAGCTTCACATCAGGGCTGGAGGGGACCTCATCTAGGTAGACATCAGGCGGGGCGGAGTACCGTAGGCTGTGGGGGGAGGCCAGAGTCCACTCATCCTGTGTACTAACTACAGAGAAGCGGCCCACAGTTTTGGCTGGGGAGCTGCTCTCCTGCTGCTCTGGCCGCTTATGAGGGGACCCAGAGATCCGAGTGCCACGCATCTGGGCTGGGCCCTCCTCTGCAAAGGTCCCTGGGCAGCTCTGCATGGGGGCTACCAAAGCATCCCTGGGGACACTGCTGTTCTGATCTCTGGGCTCCATGTGCACAAGGCTGGAGGAAACAGGGGCACCCTAGAAAAAAACAGAAATGAAGAGATCATACGAGAATCTACTGAGAGAAAACCCTACCCACCGGCTGAGTGTATATCAAGAGTTACCTTTACCTGGGGGACACTGGGCAGTGTGGGGGAGTCTGAGGCCACCTGTCCTCCGTCACTGTCACAGCCCAGAGTGTTGCTGGAAGATGACTCTGCTATAGGAACATGACAGTGTTACTGGGGCTAGAGGGAGAGAAGAGTAGAAGATGACTCACAGCCCGGGGAACCCATGCCATGGGAATACTGTCACTGGGCAGGAAGAGGAACACTGGCATTCCAGGGGCTAGTGTGCTGAGAAGACTGAAAATGCACTGTGGTGCCCTGGGCCATCAATATCTGGGGACAACACATCCTGGAAGACACCCACAAGCCTGGAGAAGGGAAGAGGTGTCAGATGGAGCACCATGCTCTAGGCACTCTACATTGTTTCCCTAAATGCTTCTAGCTTTACGTGGGTCCAAAGAAAACAAGGTACAGGAGGTTCTAACCATGCTCCTGCAGGGTCTAGGGAATGGCTGCCACACACACACACACACACACACACTCTACTGCCTCAAAGTGTTCTGTCTACAGATAGAGTGGGGATTCACTGTATTTCTGGTGAGCTTCCCTGGGTTGGTATGAAGAGCTAAGGAGAGAACCTCAGTCAGGCAGTGTGGGTCCCAACAGAGGAGAGACCTCTCCATGGCAAAGGAGAGTCATAGCAGGCTGGGGTTGGAACTGATCCACATACTACAGCGGGAGGCACAGAAACCAATTGTGCCTTGGAGCAAATGGAGGAGCCACCACATACAAAGACAGACCACAGACATACACACACAGACACAGACACACACACACACACACAGACACAGACACAGACACACACACACACACGTCTGTTTTATATATCCTATATAGGAACCTCAAATTCCTAGGGTGACCTGATCCAGGCTCTGTCACCTGTCTCTAACCTGTGGGCAACACTTGATCCCCTTCCTCACATTCCTGTGGGTGGTATCATCTAAGCCATCTTTGCACACCTCCAGGGGACAACAGGGGTCTCAGTACCAACTGTTCTATTTCTGTGACTGTCAGAAAATTGACCTGTTTGAGTCTAGATGGAGAGTCAGCCTTCTAGAACAATGCCTCCACTTCCTACCATGAGTTCTGAACTCTGAGCAGAATTTGGGATTTGGGATTTCAGGCTACACCCCTTGCAGGAAGCTCTGTTGCCTCTTTAAAAGAGGCCCTGAGATACCTCTTTCAGCTTGAGTTTGGCACTGGGTAGAGTAACACCGGAACTGGTGTTGGATGAGGCTCAGACCTCACCAGCTTCTGCCCACGCCCTAACCTTCCCAGCACAAATTCCCACCTCAGTGCCAACCACCACCAACCCCTCCTAGAGCATTTAACTAGAAACGCAGCTACCCATGGGTCCACTAGGAGGAGTTGGACAGCACCTCTCACTGGAAAGGCAACTGGCCGGAGCCATCTGCTGCTGACAAACACTGAGGTGGCCCTGCCAGATTAGCTGGATCATAACTCTTATCTTGCTATTCCCCAAGAAATTCTAGTTGCAAGAACTTGGCAGCTCAGAAGATAGACCAGATTCAAATGTTTGTTTGGATAACATGTGATTGCAGTCTTGGGAAGGCTGAGGCAGATCGCTTCAAGTTCAGCATCAACCTGGGCTGCATAACGAGACCCTATCTCAAAAAAAAAGAGCCAGCGAGATGGTTCAGTGGGTAAAGGCACATGCCACCAGATCTGACAACCTAAATTTAATCCTCAAGACCCACATGGTGGAAAGAGAACCAACTGCCGCAAATTACCCTCCGACCTCCATAAGCTCATTAAGACACGTTCACACCCACATTAAGTGCAAACTCTCTCTGTCTCTCTGTCTGTCTCTGTCTCTGTCTCTCTCTCTCTCTCACACACACACATATACACACAATGCAATTTTAAAGCTCACTGGTTAAGAGCACTGAATTTCCAGAGGACCCAGGTTTAGTTCCCAGCACCCACATGGTAGCTAACAATGGTCCAATGGTCCCTAAACTCCAGTTCCAAGGGATCTGACACCTTCTTCTAGCCTCCGAGGCATTGTACACATGGGTGTATTCACATACATGCAGGCAAAGCATTCACAGACATAAAGTGAAAATAAATAAATAAATAAATAAATAAATATCACAAAAAAAAGGTGCCAAGAGGCTTGTGGCCTGTTTTTTAAAAAAGGAAAAGGAAAAAGCCCCACCAAAACCCAAAAGCAAAGCGAGAGTTTCCCCTGAGGCACACAGCTGCCGTGGCCACAGGAAAGCTGCCAAGTCTGGGACTACCTTCTGCTCTCCAGCCGCCTAGTCATCAGGGAGCCTGGGGTCACTGGCATGTTTCCTGCAAGGCCCCAGTAACCCACCCCTGTATTCCAGTTTTCATGTTTCTAGACATGACTTTCTTTCTCTCTGGACTGTAGTTCCTTCTAAAAGTTGGTGAGCTATGCCATGTCTGGGCCCCACCCCTAGATGTACTTTAATCTGGAAAGATTCACTTTATCCCGGAAAGCATGAAGGTGAGGAGGTTCTGGGCCCAGGAAGGTGGTGGCACCTGGAGAGCGTGGTCTGCACTACCTTGACCTTGAGCAGTTACCTGTCATTGGTGAAGATGCACTCTGTTCCTGCTGTGTCAGGGCCCATCCTGCAGGGGCTGTTTCTGACTTTTCCAACTGAAAGAAGAAACAAAAAGGGAAGATTTGGGGTGAAGAGACGCCTCAGTGGTTAAGAGCACTGGCTGCTTTTGCAGAGAACCCAGGTTCCGTTTCCAGTACCCACATGGTAGTTAACAACCATTCATAACTCCAGTTTCAGGGGCTCTGACACCTTTTTCTGGCCTCTGTGGGTACTGGCAAGTACACGGTACACTTACATACGTGCAGGCAAAACACTCATGCACATAAAATTTAAAAAAATTTTAAAGGAATAACTGAGCCTGGCTTATCGACATCTCGGTGAGTAAACCCTAACCCACTGATTCCTATCATCTATGGATGGAACTATCCTCAGCCTGCTCTCCTCCTCCATCTGGACAACTGAGCTGAGATGCCTGGCACCACACACACAAGACCCCAAACAGTGCGAGGCCACTTATGCGTGGATGAATCACCAAGAAAACCAGTCAGGCCCTGGGTGAGTCGCCCCACATAGCTGGTATGCTCACTCACCTCCAGCTGTGACCAGGGAGGGACACAGGGGCAAGTCCAGCTACTCACCAAGGGCTGGGCCTGCTGGGTAAGGCTTGGGGCCTTGTCACTCAGGGCTGAGGGTAGGTCTCCCCGCAGGGGCTCCAGGGTGAAGTCTCTATCACTAGCTTCCATGGGGGTCCCAGCCGAGGCCGAGGAAGTGGGCACATGCTCCTGGTAGAGCAGAGTCCGCAGTTTCTCGTCCAGGCTCTTGATGGTGTTGTCCACGAAGCCCACCCTGGGGGGTGGGCCTTCCCCATCCGACTCCAAGGCTGATGGTGGTGGGGGAGCAGTGGGCCCCAGAGGGGGGCTGGGGAGCTGGGGGGTCACCAGGTTAATGGTCCCCACCATGATGGGCAGCGTGGGTGGTGGCTGACCCAGGGCAGGCTGTGGGGGCCCACTGGGGGGGCTGGGCTCCGGTACTGAAGTAGACAGGGGCTCCCCTAGAGCATTGGCCTCCCTGGCTGAGGTGGTCTCCCCTAGACCTGAAGGGTGACGGGAGGTCTCTGGAACTGGGGTGCAAGGTCCTTGGCCAGTGCTGAGGGGCTGGGCAGCACCCTGGGTGTGGTGAGTCTCAACCAGTGGCTGGGAGGTCTCCTGTACACTGGTTGGCCCCTGAGGAGTCCCTGGAATCCCTGCCTGTATGGCAGTCCCTGCTGCTGGCTCTGGCACGGTGCTGGCGGCTGGTGCTGCTGGGGTTACAACAGTCACAGGAGGGGACGATGGGACCAAGGGTGCTGACACTGCACCAGGAGGATTGCTGGAGCCCACCTGGCTCAGGAGCTGCTGCGCTGCTGGGCAGCTGGGTTTGTCCTTCAAGGACAGCTGGTCTGGATAGGGTGCTGGGTCTAGAAGAAACAAGGGAACTATTGGTGCCCACTAACCCCGGCCCTTTTCATCTGCTTTACTCTGTCTACACGAGGTCTTCCTTCTATCGGAGCCTAGCTGACACTCCAGAACACTTATCCTAGTTTCAAAAGCCAAGCCTGGTCTGCCACTCAAGCCCCACTGCCATCAGCCTCTCAGGAAATGATACTCAACTCCGTGTCTCTGTTCCCATAGTATCCCTTAGGCTGACCTGCACCTTCCACTTCCCACTATCAGTCCATAGCACTTGACTGCCAGGTGTGGCCTTTTAACTGCCATCTGTCTGCCCACACCCTGTGTCCATCTTGTACTACACAAAATTTGAAAGTGAATTTATAAAGTTAAGGTGTTGAGGGAAGCAGTGAGCTATATACACTTCCATACCCAGGAGCAAGAGGGAACCCAGAACCTTCTAATCCATCAGATGCTCAGAATATTACAATTAGTAAAGGATCCTGGGTGTGAGGGATTTGAGAAATCATGTGAAGGCACAGTCCAACAGTATCCCGCTGGAGTGCTCAAGGTAGCTGTGGGGACCGTGATGATCCAAGACACAGGGTGTAGTATTTCTCAAACACACAGGGGGTTGAAGCCCATCCTTCCCCACTTTAAAAAACAAAACCCCCTTGTCCTTTTAAAACCGTGAACATGTCAGGTGTGGTGGCACACACCTTTGATCCCAGCACTTGGGAGGTGGGGCAGGCAGAGCTCTGAGATAGGGGCCAGCCTAGTCTCTACAGCAAGTTCCAGGCCAGTTGTGGCTACAGGGAGACCCTCTCTCAAAAAAACAAAGCAAAAGAACATAATGGGCAAAACTAAGTCTGGGGAGACAGCTCTGTGGGTAAAATGCTGCAAAAGCATAAGGAACTGAGTTTGGAGCCCCAGCACCCATGTAAAAGCCAAGCATGGAGGCATGTGCCTGGAATCCTAGGGCTGGAGGCAGACAGGTAGCTCAGTGGCCAGTTAGCCTAGCTAAATCAGGAAGCTACAGTTCAGAGATCAATGAGAGATCCCCCTCTGGCTTCTACGTACCCACACCCACATGAACATGTATATTCACTAGATCCACAATACTCTCTCATACATACACACATAATGAAAACCATTAAAAAAATAGTAGGGTGGGGAGGCTGCCAGGACCTGAGGCCTCTTTCCTGCCCCAGACTTACTTTGCCCTCCCATTCCTGCCCCCAACTGTGACAAGCGTTAGTTTCCACCAGTGTCTTCATGGCATTGCCGTGTCTTCTAAACTGCATTCTTGTTTGTCTGATTTGGAATGTTCTATCCATCGATGGTGGTACACAAGCGCCCTCATCCTGTCAGGTGCAGACCCAGGGGAGCATCTCTGGCTTCAGGAGATGCTGGTAAGCTGCTTCCACGGAGGGGGACAAAGTTCCTCCTATGGCAATCTCTGAGCACTTATGAGCCTTTCTCCTCTCCCCAAGTCAGCCTGGGGTAGTGGGAAAGGTTTTACTTCTGATTGTGGTAACACTCAACATGAGATTAACCCTCTTAAAAACTCAAGTACACAGCATGGTACTAGTAACTGCAAGCATTTGGTTCTATGTCATGTCTCCAGAACTTATTTGGCTTGCATAACTGAATGAAACTTTAGGCCCACTGTGCAGCAAATGTTTCCCCTAACAATTTCCATTTTGGTGTCCCATTCTTTTAGATATCACATGTAAATAGAATCAAATTTGTCCTTCTGTGAATGGCTTGTTTCATTCAACATAACACCCTCCAGGCTCATCCATGTTGTTGCCAATGGTAGGATTTCCCTTTCAATGGCTCAGTAGTACTCCACTGGGTATACATGTTTTCTTTATCTGTTCATCTATTGATAGGTATTTGGTTTGTTTCCATATCTTCAGAGATTGTAAATAATGTTGCATGACCATGGGAAAAAAGCTATGTCTTCCAGACCTTGCTTTCAATTTTCTTGAACACATAGCCAGATATGGGATTTCTAAATCATGTAATAGTTCTGCTCTGGTTTTCTGAGAAGTGTGCGTATTGCTTTGTATAATATCTATACTAATTTACATTCTCACTAACTGTACATAAGGGTTCTCATTTCTCCCATCCTTGCCAATACCTGCTATCTGCTTTTTTTTTTTTTTACATTTGTGTATGTGGAGGTCAGAGGACAACTTGGAGGAGTTGATTATCTCCTTCCACCATGTGGGAACTGGGGATCAAACTCAAGTCATCAGACTTGATGGCAAGCACCTTAACCCACTGAGCCATCCAGCCCATGGTTTTTGGTGACAGCCTTTGTAACAGGTACAAGGTGCTATACATTGCATTGTGCTTTTGAGGTGTATTTTCTTGGTGCCAAGTGCCTTTTCAATACCAGCCATTTTATATCTCCTTTTATGATGTAGCTGTCCAAGTCTCTTGCGTATCTGTCATCTGAGTTGTCCTGCTTTACCTTTTCATTTGTAGTTCTTTCTGTTTTCCGGACAGGAATCATTCGCTGGCTGTATGCACTGCTGGTATCTTCTATCCGATTTGTGTTTGTCCAGTTACAGGTTTTAATTTCAACAATGTCTGGCCTTTTTTTTTTTTTTTAATGTGTATGAGTGTTTTACCTGCATGTATGTAAGTGTACCAGTGTGGTGCAATGCCCATGGAGGCCAGAAGAAGGCACTAGATCCCCTGGACTAGAGTTATGGATAGTTGTTAGCCTCCATGTGGGTGCTGGGAAATGAACCAAGGTCCTCTACATGAGTAGCTAGTGGCCAGTGATCTTATCCAGTAAGTCACCTCTCTAGCCTTTTTTTCTTTTTTGTAAGAAAAAAAAGGTCTCATGTATCCCAGGTTGGCCTAGAACTCACTAACTAGCTTGAGGCTGACCTTGAAGTTCTGATCCTCTTGCCTCTACCTTACAAGTGCTGAAGATCACATCATACCACCATGCCTACCTAGTGTATTCAGTCCTAAGGGCTGAACCCAGGGTCTTTTGCATGCTAAGCAAGTACTCTACTCACTGAGCTTGCCTTACACCTCCACTTTTTCTTCTATGGATTACATCTTTGTTATCAAGTCTAAGAAGTCCTGGAACAGATAAAGATTTTCTCTAATGTTCTTTTAAAAGTCACATCGTTTTACATTTGATATTTGATTTATTATACATTAATTTTTGTGTAAGATGTAAGGCTCAGGGTCAAGGTTCACTGTTTTACATATGAATGAGTCGCTATTCAACATCCCTGTAAAAAGACTGCCCTTTCTTCAGGAATCAGTTCTGCAAGTTTGTAAAATCACTGAGGGTGATGCTGGCCTCTTCAGTGGTTTGAGAAGCATCTTTTGCATTTTATGGAAGTTGTTTAATCATGTTTGTTGGTTTGCTCATAATGTCCATCAGCATCCTTTATCCTTCATCTATAATGGTATGCCTCTTTTAGTCCAGATACTGGTACTCTGTATCCTTTCTTTTTCTGTCAATCTTGTTAGAGGTTTATAATTTTACTGATTTGTTTTTTTCAAAGAAACATTTGGCGTCATTGGTTTTGCCTATTTCACTTATTTGTTTTAAATTTTGCTGACTTGGGGCTGGAGAGATGGCTTAGCAGTTAAGAGCACTAGCTGCTCTTGCAGAGGACCCAGGTTCAAGGCCTAGCACCCACATGGTGGCTAATAACCATCTGTAACTCCAGTTCCAGGGGATAGGATGCCCTCTTCTGACATCCACAGACATTGTACAACACAGGTATACTTACATGCATGCAGGTATGAGTGCATTACACTCATACACATAAAAAAATTAAATTTTGTGGACTTCAGCTTTTTATTTCTTTGTTTTCTTTTCTTTTAATCATTCTGTATGTACTAGAAAAGCAAGTGTATTCAGCCAATGTTGAGTTTGTCTATAAATGTCAACCAGATCAAGCTGGTTATCCTCACTGGCTTTCTGTTTCTAAGAGAAAAGTATAGAAGTCTCTAACCACAGTTTCAGAACTGTCTGTTTCCGCTTTTAGTTGTCAGGGTTTTCTTTGTAGTTTTGTTTTATTTTTTAAAGTAAGGTTGGTCTATGGGCTAGCCTCAAACTGGTGATCTCCTGCCTCAGCCTCCCAGGTTGAGGGGACTGCAGGCCTGCATTGCTACACCAGGCTTAGTCCTGTTAGCTTTACAGTTCTATTATTAGATGTACACACACTTAGGTCTTGTGTATTTTTGGTAAACTGATTCTTTTATGTATATGTAATGATTCTTTTAACACAAATAATTCTCTTTTCTCTGAAGTTTATTGTTTCTGAAATTAAAATTGCAACTCCACAGTCTTCTGACATGTTTACAAAGTCTGTTTTACCAGCCACCATTCTTTTTTTAAGATTTACTTTTATTTTGACCTCCCTCTGCTTCCCTGGGCTGCATGGCCGGCCAGCCTGTTTTCTGGACGGTGGGGCTGAGCTCTCGGCCTGGGGCCACCACTGCTTCCTGATCCCTTGCATCCAGATGGACCCAGTTCCTTCTTGAGGTCCCCAGGAGCCCTCTGGGCCTGGTCCCGCCCTCACCTCTCTCTGCTTCACTGGGCTGTAAAACCCACTAGTCTCTTTCCTGGATTCCAGGGCTGACCTTTTGGATTCCCGATTCTTTGCATCCAGACCAACCCAGTTCCTCAGTGCAGGCCCCAGGAGCCCTTAGGGCCTCTTCCTGCCCCCATCTCCCATTGCATCTCTGAGTGTCACAGCCACCAGCTGCCCAAGACCAGCATCTTTCCTGGGCCCTACTCCCAGGCCAGTCCAAACCCAAAACTCCTGAGGTCAAAATCTTTCCTGGAGGGATCCAGACCTTAGGAGAAAGCCTGAGAGCATCTGATCCTGATCTGACTTGGGCCTCTGTGGGACCTCCTGAAGACAAAAGCAATCTGGCCACTCCAATATAAAATCAAAAGAGAGAACTGGAAGCTTAGACAAACCAGCTTTTCATGCCCAAAAAGTAAACCACAAAGGCACATAAAGTTTACAAAAAGAAA